TTTGATCCTGACAATCTAAAACAGGAGCAGCTCATCTAGTATTGCAATACGGCTTGGGTCCAGTATGAACTGGGGGGTGAGCAAGAGATGGGTACAAGGTGGTACTTTAAATTATCAGACTATTCCCCAGTTACAGCATTTCTGCTTAAAACATACAAGATGGAATGAAATGCCTGATGTTCAGGCTTTTGTGACTCTCTATTAAAGGGAATGCTTAGGAGATATGGTGTTCAGAGTGGCCTCCAAGCAAGAAAAAGATATTCTAGGTGACCCCATCCTGTGATCCTCACTTGTCTCTCAAGGACATGTGGGTCTCTCTGATCTGTTTTATGATACTGAGAGATCGCCTCAACTTCCTCCTTATAAATCCAGGGCAATAAATTAAGCCCATTCCCTCCAAGTGTCTCAGGAACGCCATTAGAGCCTAGTGTGCCAGGGGAACACACAATCAGGCTTCTCAGACAGCTTTAAGCCTCTCATGTAGAATCTGCAGTGGTGCTTCTTACCACTATAATTCACAGCTTATCCAGCCCCAACAGAAGTCCCAGTGCCGAGAGGGAATACTCAGGTTCAAGTCCCTTTTTCAGTTGCAGATGTCCAACAGTGCAAGGAACAATTAGGCCAACTATCAGAAGATCCCAGTAAGTGTGCAGATGGGTTTCAGACTTTGGCCCTTGCTTTTTATCTATGATGGGGAGATGTCCCATATATCTTAGCCACTTGCTGTATCTCAGATGAAAAACAAAGAGTTCTACAAGAGGCTACAAACTGCAGATGAACAATATGTCTTGAAAAGGGGAGAAAACTAGCCTGGAGAAGCTATTCTCCCTTCACTGGAGCCAAACTGGGACTATAATACTCACAGTGGGCTAGAGATGATGTTGGTATGGTAGCTGCTCTTAACACGGGAATGAAAAGGTACATTAAAAAGTCTGTCAATTATGATAAAGTGAGTGGGGTCTTACACAGATTCTCTGTACACAAGAAAATCCAGTTTTGATGTGTAACTGATTAGCAGAGGCCTTCTGCAAGTGTACTAATATAGAACCATCTTTCAGGGAGGGAGAGACACTAATGGGACATAATTTTATCTTAATTTAATCAGCCCCAGATATTTGATGTAAACTACAAAAACCTCAGAGGGGGGCTGAGGATTTAGCTCAGCGGCAAAGCGCCTGCCTGGCAAGCGCAAGGTCGTGAGTTCGGTTCCTGGTACCAGAGAAAAAAAACAACAAAAAAACAAAACCTCAGAGGGGGTTACAGACACCTATGGGCCAATTACTGGACACAGCCCTTTCTGTGTTCAACAATCAGGACCCATAGGAGAGACAAAGATTATAGCTGTCACAATTGGTAATGCTTTAAATCCACCCAGGTCACCTAAGGAAAAACTCAGGGACAGCTGAGGAAAGAGTTCCTGCTTCAAGTGCAAGAAGACTGGACCCTGGGCACGAGACTGCACCAAGCCTCCCTCTGGGCCTAGATCTGCAAGTGAGGCAGCTAATGTACTTGACTCATGGCAAAGTTCCACTGTCCCCACTCCCAGAGAGGGGCCTGGCCAGCCAGAATCCTCACTTTCTGCTCTGATGACTGAAGAGACCCAGGGGAACCTGCGATGCCCCTGTCCGTGGACATCACCATCTCCTTCAAGGAACCCTCATAAACCCAAACATTATGGGTGGGCCAATTTGACTGCCTACTAATACAGGGGCAGCTCAGTCCCTCGTGACTTCTTTCTCTGGAAAACCCTAGGTCTACAGCCATGGTAGGGGTGGAGGCGACCTCGAGTCAGATTCTTTACTCCTCCTCATTGTTTCCTGACAGATTTTCCTTTCTTCAACCCAGCCAGTGAGCCACAGCACCCCAAAGCTGTTGGAGAGCACATAATCCTCAGTAGGTAGGGTCTACAGGCCCTTCTAGCTTTAAGAAGCTGCAGAAGACAAAGAGATCTCTATTCCCTGAGCACCCCATAAAGAATTATGGGGATCTGTGTCTCTCGGGAAAATGAGATAGGAGATTAGGCCATAGGAAAAGCTGGCTGGGGAGGTGGACATTGTGTGAGACCCTGACTGACCTCCATTGTATATTAGTAGTCGTCTTAAGCATTAAGTTTCTGTTGTCTGAGATAAGTTTCTGTTATCCTGCCTACTTCCCCAAAGACATGCACCTTTCCCTTTAAGTCAGGACTGCCCACCGTTACCTAGCTACTCCCACCTCTAGGGCTAGGACTGCCCACCGTTACCTAGCCACTCCCGCCTTTGTCCGGTTACTTGGTTACTCCCGCCTTAAGAACTTCCGCATTTCCCCGCGCCCTATATATACACAGTACTTCCCGCCAATAAACGAGACTTGATCAGAATCCTGTCTTGTCTCCATTCTTCGTGTCTCTTGTCCCTTTATCATCCCCACTCCCCTTCTAGGGTCCTCGTTGACTGTACCCGCGGGCCGGGGCAGGACATGACCTGTTCATTATATGATCCTGAACACATGTACAGAACAGTTGCCAAATCCCTGCACAAAGACTTCTTGCAAGAACTCATATAGGTTTTCCACAGGATGACCTAGACCTGATGTCGGTCAGAGACATGGGATCCAAGCACCACCTCTCAGGACCTGTATGTAGAAGTTCTCATGGGTTTCCTCAAGATTTAAACAGCATAAAAGGACACATCAATGCCATGAAGACTTTGCTATTATAGCTTTCCAAGATAGCCCACACTGTTTCCCAGACGCAGCATCTTTTATCTTTGCTCTTACCGTTTTTTTCTGTTTACTTAACCCAAGCTCACTCTACAAAGCCAATTTCTCTACTACTCTTTGCTTTTACTTTCTTGAATGAACTACGCCACTGCTTTAAAAAATTGTCAAAAAAGGGACCTTTGGAAAATTTTGGTGTAAATTTACTTTGCTACACTCATTATGAAAAAAAGAGTAAAGTAGAAGGCATCACAATCCTGAATTTCAAATCATAAAACCTGTAGTCATAAAAAACAGTATATTATTGGTGCAAAAATAGACATGTAGTCTAACACAATACAACAGAAGATACAGAACAGCCTCATGCACCTTTAGCTCCCTGACCTTTGACAAAGGGGTTAAAAACAAATGCTAGAGAAAAGATAGTGTCTTTATCAAGTTATGCTGTGAAAACTGGTTATGTGCCTACAGAAGAATGAATCTAGACTGTATCTCTTACCCTGTACTAAAATCAAGTCATGATGGATCAAAGACATAGACATAAAAAGATAAACACTGAATTTTTTGGAAGATAAAATACATAAAATTTGAAGACATAGGCATAGGTAAGGACTTACTGAACAGAACCCCAATTGTTTAAGAAATAATTCTAAGAATCAAAAGATCAGAATTTATCAAATCAAAAAGCTTTTGCATAGCCAAGAGAACAATCAACAAAATGAAGAGATAACCTACATAATGGAAAAATATTTTGCTGGCTACACCTCTATAAAGGACTAATATACAGAATATAAAATAAATTTTAAAATTAGACCCCAAGACATAACCTAGTCAAAAATGGGCAACTGAAATGAAGAGATACTTCTCACAAGAAGTATAAATGTTCAGTAAGTACATGAAAACATGTTCAGCATCTCTGGACATTAGGTAAATGCAAATCAAAATAACAATGAGAATGGCTACCATCAAGGGATCAAACAAGTACTGATGAAGATGTGTGGGAAAAAGAATCCTGCAACCACCGTGGAAAACAGTTTGGAGGTTCCTCAAAAAAATAGAAATTTTGGGGCTGGGGATTTAGCTCAGTGGCACAGCACCTGCCTGGCAAGCACAAGGTCATGAGTTCGATTCCTGGTACCAGAGAAAAACAAAACAAAACAAAAAAAAAATAGAAATTCTATCTGACCCAGCTATATGTCTCCAGGGTATGTTCCTGAAAAGAGTTAGAGCCGTCATATCACAGTCATGCATGTGTACCCATAGTAATGGTAGGGTAATTCACAATATCACGGAAACAGCCTACATGCCCACTAGCACATGGATGGATAAAGAACATGGTATTACCCAACCATAAAGAGGGATTAACTAGAATCATCTGTAGGAAAATGAATGGATTTTTGGACTAGAATGTTAAATCAGACACAGAAAGTTACAGACTGTATGACTTCTCACACAGGAAAACGAAAATATAAGTAATTTAAAGAGAAAAACAAAGAGATGATAGGAAACAGGGAGGTAGACTTTTGGATATGAGGAACAAGATCTGGGGAAGAGGGAGAGGGGAAGAAAGAGGAAAAGGGAATCAAAAATTCAATGAATGTAATTATTACGTATCAAAAATATATACTAGTTAGAAAATAAAAGCAGATTCTGCCATTAGTGACTCTATGTGTCAGGGTACGGAATATTAAGCTAAGTGAAATAAGACACAGAACAAAAACATTGCAAAATCACATTTACATGTGAAAGCAGTCAAATATCCAGACATATACAAGAAACCAATACTTACCTGGGACAAGAGCTGGGATCAGAACACAGTGAGGACATGATGGTCAGAGGACACTAAACAGATATTTAGAACAAACAAGTCTACACATTGAATCTACAACACGAAAAGTATAGGTAAGGGCTGGGGATATAGCTCAGCAGCACAGTGCCTGCCTGGCAAGTACAAGGTCCTGAGTTTGATTTCTGGTTTAAAAAAATATGTACAGGTAATAAAATGGTGTTTTATTTGGGATTCTCTTCAATGAGATTTTACTTGGCTTTATAACAAAAAAAGAAAACACGGGTTACTGTTAGATAATGGATGTGTTCATTTTCTCTACTACAGCAAGCACTTTACTATCTATATGAATTTTATAACTTCATGTCATAGACCTTAAATACACACATTTCTTTTATAAGTTCATGTAAATGGGTTCTTCTTGTTTTTCTAATTTGTAAACAGTGAACACATATATCATGTTTAAGTATACATAGATACATATAGTTATTTTTTGAGATGGGGTCTCACTATGTAGTTCAGGTTGGCTTCAAACTAATGGCAACCTGCCTGCCTCAGCCTCCCAAGTGTTGGCATTACAGGCAGCACCACTTCTCACAGCTAAGTATACATTTTTGGTAAAAAAATTCAATGATTAAATAAATTCACAATGCACCTAATTGTTTTATTTCCTTATCTTTACTATTTCATGTTATTAGCAAGACACAGTGGTTTGTGCTTGTAGTCTTTGCTGCTGGGGCAGGGGGGTTACACAGGAGGATTCCTTGAGACCAGGGATTTGATGCCAGCCTGAGCAAGATAGCCAGAGTCCTGTTTCTGGCCACAGTTCAGCAGTAAAGCACATGTCTGCAATGCGTGAAGCCCTGTATTCAATGTTCTGCATGAAAAAAAATTCATCAAACACTAATATTCTCTTGTGGGAGAATTCCTTTAGTTTTGAGGAAAATTACCTGGTCTCCCTCTTATTTTGGGTACCAATCTGCAAAATTACTGATTTCCAATTTTTTTTTCCTAAAAGGTAAAGAGAGAAAAACTATGAGACTTTCTATAAAATTTCTTAGACTATAAATTCATAATGAGCTAAGAACATGCTTTGGTTGTTCACCACACTATTTTCTTTCTTTCTTTCTTTTTTGGTATCAGGCATCGAACTCAGGACCTGGTGCTTACCAGGCAGGCACTTGTGTGGCTGAGCTATATTCCCACTATTTTCTTGTTTGTTCCAAACTGTGGAAAAAATAAATAAATAATCAGGAATAAGGTCATTTATTCAGAACTAGGAAGATAATACCAAGAGACTGTAATGATGGCCCAAGGGCCAGTTATGAATCATGATTCCAAGGATGTCCACATGGAAATTGTATGAAGTTAATCATAAGTTAAAAGCTCTGTCCCACAAAGCTGGGCATGGTGGTACATGCCCATAATCCCAGAACTCAGGAGGCTGAGGCAGGAGGATCACCAGAAGTTCCAGGCCAGCCTGGGCTACATAGTGAGTTTAAGACCTCTAATCTACATAGGGAGACCCTGTCTCAAAAAACAAAAACAAAAACAAAAACAAAAGAGCTGTCCCAAAAGATTTCAAGTATGATCTACAAATAGGTTAGCAGGCCACATATATGCCCAGTCAACCATAAATTTGATTTTCCCAATACTCTCGATAACTCTCAACTTAGGAGAGGGCTTTACTTAGTATTATCGTGTTATTAGAAAGAATAAAACAGTCAATCATCAGAATGACTTACTGCAGAATCTAATGCAAAACTTGATGAGAGGTAGCCAAAGGAATAGAACAGAAGACTTAGAAAACTTCCATGTACGTAAAGCCACTAGATTTTTGACAGAGGGACTTTGGAGAAAAGACAGCCTCCTTTAACAGTGGTACTGAGAAAATTGGAAATCTACTTGTGGGTGACTGAAACTAGATTTCTATCTCTCACTCTGTGCTAAAAGTAAATCAAAATGGACCAAAGACCTAGATATAAAAACAGAAATTTAGGGGCTGGGGGTTTAGCTCAGCGGCACAGCGTCTGCCTGGCAAGCGCAAGGTCGTGTGTTCCCGGTACCGGAAAAAAAAACCCAGAAATTTAAACCTCCTGGAAGATAACATAGGGATAACAGTTGAAGCCACAGGTTCAGGCAAAATGTCCCTGAATAGAGCTCTAACAGCCCAGGAAATAATAATGAAAATTAACAAATGGGATTATATCAAATTTAAGAGCTTCTGCACAGCAAAGCAAACAAGTGTGAAGAGACACATTGATTCATAAATTAATGACTAAAATAAAGGAGAAATTCCAGCAAACTGAAGCTCGTCACCCAGAGACAGGGATTGGGAGTGAGGGGTTGTGAGATAAAAGGAGAAAGAGGTATGAGACTTAAAATGACAAAGACATGTTAAATGCAAGAACCAAAAACCCAAGTGAACCTCACTATTCTGTATTACTAACATGCACTGATAAAAATAAATACATTTTAGAAATTGCTGCTTCATCTCCCACTTTCCCATTTATCAAGCTTTGTTCAACGGAGTTGAACAAACAGAATGACTCTTCACAAACAGAAACAGCACTCCTGAGCATGCCCCTTAAACCCAAAAGAACCCCTTGCCATGGTGTGCGGCAACATACCAACCCCAAGCAGGAAGTAACATTGTTTCTGTCCCTGAATGGTCCAGGAAACCAGAGATCTAGATAGTCTTTGTCACACTACACCACCTACCCCTGTGGGTGTATGTCATAAGTGGACCAAAGATTACACAACCAAGTGCTAGCTGCAGTGGACACTTGAAGTCTGAGACTGGATTCTTACTTCTGAGAAGCTATACAAGGAAGATTTAAATGTATAAGCATAGAAAGGCCAAGAAAATGATGACACATTCCCATAAGTAGATCTCTACCACTTACTGATGATCAATTCTACTACGGGAACCATTCTATACAACTTCTATACAACGTTTTTGTTCTGTGTCTTATTTCACTTAGCTTAATATTCTGTACCCAAATAATCCCACGACATTGGCGTTGCTCAGTCCACAATCCAGTTTAGACTTAATACGCCTAATAGAAAAACAGTCTATGGTGTAAAATTAAGATTTTGTCAGTATTCATTTTAACTTCAAATTCCATTTTACCCAGCTCTCACTGACATATCAAGGGACATATATTTTCATTTCATTCACTTCAGTGTGAAAATTTTAACAAGAGGTTTGTGCTAGAGGCTGGGTGGGAGAAATGGGATGATTTAAGCCCTTTTAAAAATCTCATGTAATAATTTTCCAAATGCATGATACTTGAGATGGGTCTTTGAGGAACAGCAGAAACCAGCCTGGCGGGACGTGCACCTGTTTACCTAGAAGACTATTTAACTCTCTTTCCCCGCCTTTCCCTGCCCTGCATTTAGGAAGCTACATTGCAAGGACCAGTCACACGGGCAGCAGTCTCTGTCAGGGAGGGGTCAAGAGGAAAACAGCCAATAGAAAGAGAGCGAAGACGAGGTTCTAAATTCTCCTTGCTCCCACCTCGCCAACCTGATTAGCGGGCAAACCTGCTATCTTCTGCTGTATGCTATAGACCTCATGCTACGCTGGTCCCTGCTTGGAATCTTGGGGTCTCATTTTCAAATAACTAATCCAGCCTTTGTCTCTTTTAGACCTAGTGATGACTACTGTTCTCTGATATTGGTGTCGGCATTTTCCTCACAACTCACGGCCTCCTGTAATACTATCCACACTTTAATAAATAAAAATCATCAATGTCTCACTCACTACAGTTTTAAGGATGCCTCCACAGACCGTCTAAATTGCAAGGTCATATAAACCTGAATCAATTACACAGACACAGGCACAACGAAATGAGCAAAAAAAAGTAAATGACTTCCGCCAGTTTCTGGGAAAATCATACCCAACAACTGAACAATATAATTTAAAGATAACATGTGGAAAGGATATTACAGTGGCATCATAGCACAGGCTGCTACAACAAAATATTAAGGGCTGAGGGAATTAAACACATTTATTTCTGGAGGCTTAGAAGTCTAAAATCACTGCATATCCTAATTGCTTTTGCATATAACTCACAATATTCAAACTATGTTAGGTATGGCCAAAAGGAAAAAAACAAACAAAATAAATCCAGCTGGGGAAGGGATGGGGTAAACGGATAGGACCCAGGAAAGTCTACAAAGAGAATCCTCAGCCGAAGGGAGCCCCCAATCCAAAGCAAGCTCAGGAAGGAAAAGCACAAGGATTTACACAAGTCGTCCCACGTGCTCTGTCTCTGATTCACTCACATGTAAAGTAGCCCCAAACAAAATTAAAATTAAAGTTTTCTTTCCCGCCAATGCCAAGAGCTAGGCTGAGAGCATGCGGGTCGAATTTGAAAACTCGGGACAAACAAGGCTGGTCTGCAGCAGGGAACCCCACCACGAAATCCACCCCTCCGGTCAGGAGTCCCCGCCGCCGACGCACACCCTGGGACATACAGGGCTCCAGGCTGGTGTCCATATCACAGCACGGGGCATGACAGGACAGTGCACCCGCTGCCATCGCAGCCTCACCCCCAGTGGAGAAGCCCGAGTGCCGCGTGTGCAGCTTCGGACGCAGGGCTCCGCGGCCGCAGGTTCCAGGTCGCCCCTGGAGTCCCGAGGCTGGTCCGCACTCACCATTCCCGGCTTCACTGGTGTCCTGGAGGCCTCAGCAAGGCTCCCACGACCACTGTAAGTCACCACTCCACAGGAAGAAGAACCTCAGCGCTTCAGGTGAGAGGTGTTTACAAAGCCCATGGAACAGGAAGGACTTCCCCCTGCTGGGGCAGCGACTCTGGACGTCTGCTTCTGGTGGCCTCTGATTGGATGGTTTCTGTGACCCCGCCCCCGCTCTGTGAGCGACAGTTCTGGAAGGAGAGCCCAAGCGTCCACCACCACTGAACTGTTTCCCAGAAGGGGCGCCTGGTCTCCTCCAGCAGTCAGAGCCTTCGCCTAAAGCTGCCAGGCCACTGGAGGAATTGGATCCTTAGTTTAGAAACACTGACACTTAGCCGTGGCGTCACAATATGTTCTCACCTCTCTCTTCACGTTGATCTTTGACTCTTACCTGGGTCGAGGTCTCTCCACCCATCCGGTCTCCACCCTGCGCAGGAGCTACTCTGTGTCCTCAGAAGGTTAACCTCCACCTCCAGCCTGGGCTCAGGATCCCTTCTCAGACCAACTCCCTTCTACACAATGACTTTTTTTCAAAAAAAAAAAAAAGGTCATTTTTTTTTAAAAAATGTCATTAATAGATAAGCGATCTTTTTCTGTTTTTATATCCTGCAGCCTTGCTGGAATTATATAGTAAATTTTTTCAGGATTTATAGATTTCTCAATGGAGGTAGTGTCATCTGCAAAAAGAGGTAAGTGCACCTCTAAATGTTACCTATTTCTGATCATTCTGAATTCTTTTTCTTCAAATCATAGAACAAATAACAAAACTGAGAGGCAACTAAGCTGTGAAGAAAAGTTTATTCTTTGGCCTAAGAATAAGGACAAGCCAGAAAAAAAAAACAAAAAAAAAAAAACAAAAAACACCTCACATGTATAACTGTACCATCCCAAAATGTATGGCTTCTTAGAGTAAAGAGGAAGAAGGAATGTTTAGTTAATGGGTAGGGGATTACTCATGCCTTTTTCTATGGAAGGTTGTGGGTCCATCCTAAACATCAGGGACTACTTTTTTTACAATACTTATGTGGGCAAGATGCTGTCTGGGCCAGAAATGGAGGTATCATGATTGGTCTATCAGGTAGGAATTTCATTTTCTAAAGTACAATAATATGGTGACAAAGCTAGGGATAATTGTGGGACACTGGTGGGACAGAAGCCTGGATGAAAAATAATTCTCTAGGTACAGTAAACTGTTGCTCTTCTGTAGACTGTAATGTTTCAGCACACCTGTCATGAGACCCTAACAGATATTTGCATGAACAAGAAATTATTACCAAGAAAGAGACTAAGCCCTCTAATTTCACTTCCTCTTAGTCAATTTAGAATCCACTGCTATTGGAAGTTACACCATGGGAAGGCACCTTAATAGATTTCCTTAGTTTTGCTATAGAAAACACATCCAGTGTGGTGGCACATTCCTGTGATCCCAAAACTTTGAGAGGCTGATGTCGGGGAATGGCAAGTTCCACTCCCATGTGGACAATTTAGTGAGCCCTCATCTCAAAATAAAAATAAACAAAAGGAGCTGGATATGTGGCTCAGTGGTAGAACAACCATGGGTTTCATCTCCCACTATCACAAAATAATTAATAATAATAATAATAAACAACTTCTGTTATATGGGTTATAACACCTATATTATTTCCCAGTGATCTGAAGGCCACTTTCGCTAAAAATACTGACCCTTCACTAAGCCTGCAGAAATCTGATTGGTGACTAAAATGTGATAAAAGGCTTCACACCTCTGTATTAATATAATATCTGTTTCCTTGCTGTCTTCATTCTTGGGACAGATTCTACTTAGCACTGCATGTAAACATGTTGGTCATTTAAAACATGATTTGTCTAAGACTGTGATACAGGGTTAATCTGGCCTGTTGCCCATTGGAGTTGGCATGTGCCTCTTGTAGCTCACCCTTGTGCTTTTTTAGTAGCTCAAACACTGAAAGTTCTTCAGCCCCATCACAAGGCCAGGACATTTGTGCAAGGCATTGATATGCACTGGGTGAGTAACTAAGCAATGACTGAACAAAGCGACGGCCTGTTAGCCCCCTAAATGTAAGCCTGGGACATTTTGCAGACAATAATGATACCAGGTTCAGGAAACTTCGATGCTATTGTGACAAATTCATTATGTCCATTTGTTGTCTAAGGCTGTCAAAAGCAAAAAGCGCCTCTTGGAGCCATGCCCCTGGCCAGTGAAAACTACTGTACTTTAGTTAACCCCTAGAGAATCAATGAAAACCTCATCTGTTATGTTTGTCATTCTCTTAACCAACTGCACACTTGCAAACTCTTATGAGATGAAAAGCCCTGCCCCAAGTCAATAAATCCTTGCCTATGCAGGAGTGTGTGTGCTGTGCTTGCAGTACTTGGCCCGGTATCGTATCTATAATGTGTAGGTATAACAAAAACATCATCTGGTTTCATATTTTGTTGACTCTACAAGGATGATGTAAAAGCATGGGATAAAACCTACTGGAATCAGGATCCCTGGATGCTGATCCAACATGAGCGATTGTTTAGCTATCCAGACCAGTCTCTTTGGTATGTCAAATTCTGACTTCTGTTGTCCTGCTTGAATTTGTTGTCTCACAGAAAGCGTTGCCATTTCCCCTCTCCCCTCTCTCTCTTTTTTCCTTTCTTCTCCTCTCTTCTTCACTCCGTCTCATCTTCTTTTACTTGTTGTTATTTTCAAGGAACAAAAAAGCATGAACTCAATTTGTCCAACATGCCTAGACTCCCTGTGTAGAGTGGTTGGGAAGTTCCCTAAGCCATGCAGCTCCAACTCACAGTTGACTTCACCACCTGTCCTCTGGTGGAGTTTTTAGGCTATAATGATGCAGAACCCACTGGTCTTCTTTTCTTTGTAGGTTATCTATTTCTGCCTGTCTGTCTCTCTGTTCCTTGCTCTTCCTCTCTGTCTTCTCTCAACCAGCTTCCTTGCTTTCACTCTTACTCTCTCAACTTCTCCGACCTCTTTTCATTGTCAAAGACAAAAGAGCATACACTTGATATGCCATAGCTTCCCAATGCAGGGTGACAGGATAACTCTCTGAGACATGCAGATTCATTTGGCACTGGTGATATCCATTGCTGCCTTTGGAATCAGGTGGAGTTTTCAGACTATGGGCAGAAGCCCATCGGTCCATTTCTTCTTAAAATGTTTTCCCTTTCCTCCTTCTATCTTGAACACCCATTTAAGTCAGGGCATCAGGTGTCTCTTGTTAAAGTTGTCAGCCTGGATAACTTAGCATCTTAGCAAGTTACTGTCTTAAATTTAAAAAAATCCAAAGAGTTGGGGTTGACTTCTGGGAAGATGGTGGAGTGGAGAGCAGCAGGGAAAGAGCCTTTCTGAGATTTGGTGTCCAGACACTGAATATAGTATAGCAACATGAATAGAAGAAGGAGGGAGGTGGGTTCCCAGGATCCAGGAAGGATCTAAAGCAGGAAGTGAAGCCCACAGGGAGAGCAAAGAGCAAGACTTCAGTGAAGAAGGAGGAGGTGTCAGGCAGCCCTTTTTCCCTGAGCCCAGAATCACTGTGTGGGAGGGGCGGCTCAAACCTGTGGATGCATGGTGACTACTGGCCAGAAGCAACCCCAGAGGCCTCCATGGATAAATGCGTCAGTGGAATGGAGCAGTGTATGAAGTGGATGGTGAGTTATTCAGGTTGAGGTATACCCCAGGAGAGGGTGGTTGCCTTGGAGTCACCTTGGATAGGGATCAACTCAGCTCAGAACTCAGAGCAACTGCTGGCTCTACCTGGCAGCTCCCAGTGTTGGGGTAAGAGAGCCAAGTTCAAGTTGGCATGAAGCCAGGTAGCTGAGTTCAAGCTGGCAGGCAGCCAAGTTCAAGCTGGAGGGGACACATGGATGGCTGCAGGCTGAATGGGTCTGGTTCTAACCTCATGCCAAGAAACCAGCCTGAATTTCAGTGGAACTAAAGGTGCAGCCTTGATGGGATTATCCCATACCCTGCTGTAAAACTACAGCTGTCTTGTTGGGATTAATTAGCTTGGATCTAGACTCTGTTTGCCCATGTTGTCTACCAGTGACAGCAAAGACATACCTTGACATGGACTTTCCTTGTTTCTTTCTCTTTTCTTGTTTTTTTGTTTGTTTTGGTTTTTCTTGATTGTTCCTGTTTTTATATGTATGAGCATTGTTTCTAGCTTTTTTGTTGTTGTTATTCTGTTGTGTTCTTGTTTTTATTTCTTTCTTCTCCCTTTTCCTCCTATCTTCTGCACCAGTTTCCCAAAGTTTGTGTGACTGCCCTTTGTCCTCCAGCCTTGCTTCTAATCTCTTCCTCTTCTTGTGTTTCTCTATTTTTCCCCTAACCCTTTTAAAGTTTTCTCTCCTGTGGGTAAAATCACTATATTGAGGGCTTATTTACTGCATATGATTTTCTGGCTCATTTTAGGTTTTGTTATATAACCACAAATCTAGTTAATAAGGTTAAAGGTAGCAAATTAACACTTATCTCAGTTTGTCACTTTCTAGGCTGTGTTTGATGTTCTTGTTATTACTGATTGTACACTTTAGCCAAAGTGACATAATTGTTCTAATCAGTTGCTCTTCCTGATAGACCAAGACTGAGATTGCCTAAGGGTCATAAAAAGTACTATAGAAAGAGATAACAAGGCATACATCTCCATGAACCACAACAGAATGTATCCGCCAGGCAAGGAAAGCAATTAAACAGAGGGGAAAAAAGGGAGCCAAGAACAGGAAAACAGCATGACAAGGATAACTCAATATATACAGTGATCCTTCACCTATTGCGTGAGTTATGTTCCAGAGATTTGCGATAGATGAAAATCTGTGAAGTAGCGGTATTATATTTATTTTATTATTTATATATATTTAAGGCTTTATAAAGCCTTCTCACATTCCTATAAACCTTTCCCGCACTCTTATAAACAATTCATATGCTCTTAAACGCTTCCTATACTCTTAAACCTATGTAATTTTATAACATGTAAAATTCTATATGGGTACTCACCAGTGACTATACTACAAGTTGAATTATGAAGATCATGAATTATGTAACTGTGCAGTACTGTGGTTGGTTGTCTTCCATTCTGCTAGCCAATAGTGTGCCTTGTACAATCTCACATTGGCAAACTTGGCATACTGCATTTCCATTGTGTACAATATGGTATTCATCTGCTGATGAAATATATCCTGTATTTCATTTTGATTTAATATCTTTTAATATTTTTGAATTAACATTTTTATATTTTAAATTTTTATGCAAAAATAATTAAAATCATAGGTATTATATAAATACCTATATACTGTAAAATCCTGCAATATAGCAAAAACTCCACAATACAGAATTAGATATATATTTCTTTAAAAACCCACAATGAAGCTGCAATAAGTGAATGATGATATAGTGAGGGACAGCTGTATTAGTTATAACTATCAATATAAATACTCTCAATTCAATCAAAAGAAACAGATTGGCAGACTGGATCAAGAAGCAAGATCCAACAATGTGCTGCATTGAAGAAACACATTGAATTAAAAAAAAATTCATATACTGAAAGTCAAAGGATGGAAAACAGTACTCCATGAGACAGGAACCCCCAAAAAAGCAGTGGTAGCTATTTGCAGACAAAGTGGATTTCAAGTGAAGACTGATTAAGAGAGACAAAGAAGGTCACTACATCATCAGAGATAACAATCATAAATATGTATGCAGCAAT